AAGTCTTTATAAATATATATTTTAAAGGGCTGGGTTTCTGCATGTTTGAAAATAAGTGGGAAAATGACATGGGTTTTCTTGTGTAACATAGGTAAAATTTGATGCATTATCCATTTCCCAACAAATTCTCATGTGATGTTGATATTGAGATCAATTTACAGATTACCTTGAGGAAACTTCAAATCTTGATACCATATTATGCCCTTTCATCAAAGAATGTGAAAATTTATTCCATTCGCTATTTCATCACTATGTGATACTTGCTTTTATTTTTCTAGCATATTACTGATCTAGTTTACTCCTAAGATTTTTGAAGTGTTTACAATGTATTATGTATTCTTGTTTTTGTCATTTGTGTTAGAGTTGGAAAAATTACTGTCTTAGTACTTTTATAATATCTTAATATTCTTCAACTGTTACACTCGAAAGCATCTAACTTTCAAAGAGGGATAACTTTTTTCCCCGTTTTTTTTTTTTTTTTCCCGTGGTGCTGAGGATTGAACCCAGGGCTTTGTGCATACTAGGCAAGCACTCTACCAACTGAGCTATTTCCCCAGCACCCCCTGCTTATTTTTATTTTTGTTGCTGTTGTTGACCAAGTCAGAAAAACAATGAAGTAAAGATATGAGTTGTTTGTTTTGAGACAGGGTTTTGCTAAGTTACTGAGGCTGGCCTCAAACTTATGATCCTCCTGCCTCAGCCTCCAAAATCACTGTGATCACAGGTATGTGTTGTGATATCTGTCCTTGATATAAAGTTTTAAATAACAGTTCTTAAGCTTAGTTCACTAAGCATTTTAACCTATCAAGTAGGAAATCTGCCTTCCACATGAAGAAATATTTTCATTATAGAAAAACATTTGGAATGCCTTTTTTTGGTATTTATTTTTATTATAAAATCACTAACACATCTTAATTTTTCACATTGGGATTTACTGTATATTCATATACACATAAGTTGTGCATAGATGGTGTCCATCCATCCTTCTTTCTCTTCCAAGCCCTCTTCCCAGTCCTGAATATTCCCTCTTCTACCCTCACACCCTTTTAAGTTTCTACTGATGAGAAAACATTGATATTTCTTTGTGTCTGACTTCACTTAAAAAGCCCTCCAGCTCCTTCATTTCCTGTAAATGGCAGGGTTTTGTACTTTATGGACAAATAATTCTCCATTATGTGTGTATACTTTATTCATTCATCTGTTGACCGGCACCTCTGCTGATTCCACATCTTTGCTATTGTGCCATAATATACATGGGTATGAGGGTATCTCTTTTGTATACTACTTCGTGGCCTTCACGTGTGCACCAAGGAGTTGGACAGCTGGATCATATTGTCATATGATCTATTTTTAGTTTTTTTGATAAACTTCTATAGTTTTCCATAGAGGTTTTACTAATTACATTCTCTCCCCACTTCTCTCTCTTTTGTACAGGGATTGAACTTGGGCATGTTACCACTGAGCCACATCCTCAGCCCTATTTTGTATTTTAGAAATGGGGTCTGTGAGTTGCTTAGTGTCTCGCTTTTGCTGAGGCTGGCTTTGAACTCTCAATCCTCCTGCCTCAGCCTCCCAAGCTGCTGGGATTCCGTGCCTTGCCGAATTTACAGTTTAACTAGTGGTCTGTAAGTGTCCCTTTTTCTCCACACACTTGCCAGCATTTGTTCCTTTGGTTTCTGATGATGGACATTCTAACTAAAGTGAGATGGAGTCTTGCTGTAGTTTTCATTTGCATTGAGAATGATTTTTGACATGGAAATAACCACTCCATTTGTTCATTCATTTCTTCAAAGAACAGATACTTATTGACTTCTAGTAATATATTCTAGACTCTAGATGTGAACTGAAAACAAGTTATAAGAGCTATGAACACAGGGATCTTGTGTATTTTTAAATTGACTGTGTGAGATACATAGGGGAACCCAATGAGATGACTTCAGTTTTAAGTACCACAAGAGGTATAGGAGGTGATGAGGAGAGAAATACCTTCATGGATGACATTTTTACATGTGGCAGTTAAGTAAAGGAGGCTTTAGTGAAAACTGTACTTAAAAAATTCATGTGTTTCTTCTGTTTGTCTCCAGGTTCCTGGATCTGAGTAGACGCATTACAGCTCAGTCACTGAGGGAATGTTTTCTGTGAACGTGGCCATGGGAATGGCCATCATCACTCAGACTGGAATAGGAATCACGGGGAATTCTTCCCTCCTCTGTCCTTATATTTATTCTCTTTTTAGGAAGCACAGGATGAGACCATTAGAGCAAATGATCCACCATCTTGCCTTAGCCAATATGTTGTGGATTATCTGTGGAGGAATCCCTCAGGCCATGGCAGACTTTGGGCTGCGGTATTTCCTGGATGATATTGGATGTAAATTTGTCTTTTATTTTTACAGGGTGGCCTGGGGAAATTCTCTCAGCACCATCTGTCTTTTAGGTGGCTTCCAGGCCTTAAGTATCAACCCCACAAACCCCAGATGGGTAGAACTCAAATTCAAAGCCCTAAAGCATATTAATTCTACCTGTCTCTTGAGCTGGATGTTTCATTTGATAGTAAATATTATTGTTCCCATGAAAGTGACTGGCCAAACCCATAGCAGAAATATCACTGTGCCTTCAAATCTTAGATATTGCTCTCATCTTTTTATTAACACAATTGCAGAATTGGTATTTTCATTTATTTTCTCCTCTGTGGATATTATTTGTTTGGGATTCATGATATGGGCCAGTGGAACCATGTTATTTTTCCTTCACAGGCACAAACTGCAAGTCCAGTACATTCGTAGCACTGGACAATCTCCCCAAATATCCCCAGAGACCAGGGCCATAAAATCCATCCTGACACTTGTGAGCACTTTTGTCTTATTTTATTCCCTCTCTGCTGCTTTTGAAATTTATGCTTTTTATGTCAACAATCCACAGTCGTGGCTGGCAAACACCACTGTGATTGTAGCATCTAGCTTTCCATCCTTCAGTCCCTTTTTGCTCTTAAGAAATTACACTCACATCTTCAAGCTCTGCTCCTCCTGCTGAGGAAGTGTCTGGACTTAATCACGTACTGATGGCAGCATCAATATTCCCTCATCCGTTCACCCTTGCTGTATCATGCTGTTTTGTGTGCAGTGGTGAACAGGGACGGTGTCTGCCACAATGAAGTCTGGAAAATCCAGACGTGAAAGAAGGGGCGATGGGAATAATGATGGAGGACAAAGGAGGCTGGACACCTGAAAAAAATTCAGGAAGTGGGTTTATTTAAGCTGCAGTGGTCCAGAGGGTCTAATGCCTACAAATCTCTGGACCCTGAGCCTGGAAATTCTTTTAGATTTATATTCAATGGGATGGTACCTGGTCTGCTTCAAATGTCTATACTTGCACAGGTGGTTGAACTAAGGATCTCATTTTGTTAAGAGAGAATGAGGCCAGACAGAGGTCTCGTGATCTGTTTTCTTGGTAAAATCTTGTATCTTTTTGCACAACAAGCTTGACGGCAGACTCTATCACATCTTTTGTATGCAAACTGTTGTTTACAAGGAAGAAGCAACTTCAAACTGTTAGCACAAAATGCCAGAGCTGGGTGCAGACTTCACAGATCAGCACAGTCTTTACTCCGTGGTGGAGTCGTGCATCTGGTGGACCCGCTTTTCTGATGGAAAATGAGCCACTGGCCAAAGGAGGAATCTGTGCTTGTAAATGCTCCACTGAGAGGTGACTTAATTATTGACAGAGCATGTCAGTTTGGGCACTCAGGAAACGGGCTGTGAGAATTTGAAATTTGTTTTTATTGGGCGATGTTTTTATTTGGGGAAGAATGGAGGGTCTGAGGGCCTGGGGGTCAGCATTCAGTGCTTATCTTTTTCCCTTTAGGGTCCCGTTGTGCTGTCACTGGGAAGGGATTTATATGGGAAAGGTTAATGCTTTGGCAGAGACTGTCACTTTAGGCTTGATGGCTATCTCCTCCCCAGGGATTCTTTGTCACTTGTAAGGGGTGTACTGGTGAAGGATCAATGTTATCAGTGTTTGGCCTTCTTCCTCACTCCCTCTTCCCAGACCACACTATTTTGGGGTTTGCCATTTTCCATCTCTTTCACAAACCACAATACTCTCAACAGAATGTCAGTGGGCTTTCTGCATATTTTTTGTAAAGAAAAAAAAATTTCTGATGTGAAACTTAATTGTGGCAAGGGTCTTTGGGGTGGGGGTACCTGGTCTGCTTCAAATGTCTATACTTGCACAGGTGGTTGAACTAAGGATCTCATTTTGTTAAATGTTCAGGAAGCTGTTGATTTAGACTAAGCTCTAACACTAGGCCCAACAGACCAAACCAAAACAGAATTACTCGCACTGAAGTGCCACATCATGAAGCCAAAAAGAAGTTGTTTATCTGACCCTTCAAGAAATTGGGAGAGTGAGAGATAATAGCAAAATTCCCAGACACTCACTTTAGTAGGCATGATAAGACTTGTAGTCTGACCTTTAGAAGAAAAGCAACTGAAAGAACCAATCCCCTTTTTGTTCTGTCTCGGCTTTCCTCCTATGCTCTGTTGTTTATAAAGCCAACCCCTGAGCTGAGCAGGGGAGTTCAGTGTATCAGAACACTCATTCTACTTTATGGAATGAGGTGTTGAGTCTAGAACCACAAATAAATGACAAATAAGACCTTTAAACTACATTTGTTGTAATTTTCTTTGTATCTGCAGTGTAGGGAGCTTCCTGGATATCATGGAGGAGTAGCCAGTCATAGTGGGCACCTAATGCAAACTGTTTGAGGAGGATGTGCACAAAAGCCCACAGAACATACCAATGACCAAAAGAAATCCTATGAGCCCCGTCTGTCAAGAGAATTTAGCATGAGTTGAGGTTGTAGAATACAATGATAATTTGTCAGGTCTGAACAGATCGGGCTAGGAAATTGTGCCAGAAATCCCAACAGCAATTACAGGCAATAAAAGGATATATATATGTATGTTTTTTAATCAAAGGGGGTACTAATAAAGTATCTGATTTGTCTAAAAATGACCATTGTTTATTGAGTTCACAGTGCAAGAGCAAAAGGATTAGGAGAATTTTTGGAATTAGGTTGGGGGGACAATGGCTGTGATGCAGATGATAAAGATCATGAAGATGACACTATTAGGAAGAGGTATGCACTGACCTCGGCAATGGCCTCATGAAGCGGAGCTTGAAGTCTGGATTGGAGGGTGACTCGTCTCACTTGAGCACTGGATGGATGACAGTGGCAGCTCTTGATACTGAGAAACTGGGGAGGCTGTACTTTGTAGAGACGATGCGCACACATCTCAGCTCACAGTTCATCTCTAGGGCACCTGAATTACACTTGGTGTGTGTCACATACATGCACAGGTAGAGTTGGGGGGAGGGCTTGTTTTGGGAACACGCCTTTGACTCTAAACCAGATCAGTAACAGGAGCTTAGGGCTGAACTGAAAGGGAAATTTGAGAGTGAAGAGACCTGGGACCTAGTCACTAGTTAGCGTTCCTACCTGCTCTAATTAAATGAAGCTGTGTTTCAGATGGTGACAAATGTCCTGTTGACAAACAATGGGGTGCAACGAAGGAGCACCCTGGGTGCGTTGGTTTCAAATACTCTGTGCAGGAAATCTCTTCCTGAGGCTGATATTTGAGCAGAGTGTAGAATGACATGACGGAATTCAGTAATGCACATAGCCCTTGGCTAGAACACAGAGGGCAGAGGGACTACGCAGAAAAATGACTGAATAAAGCCTTTTTTATTTTTTTATTTAATTTTTATGGTGCATGTCATATAGCAAGATGACCAGTATAGCTGCAGGTGTAAGGAAGTATCAGGATTTAAAAGTGGCAGCTTGTATAAAATGTTGTAGATAGCATGATTATTTTGGCCTTTTCCCTAAAACAGATGGGGAGCCATTAGCAGATTTTGAGTAGAAGGACGACATGATAGGACTTATTTTTTAAAAGGATAGCTGGTGCTTTTATACTGTGTAACTTGGCTGAACTGGAAGTATGTTTCCAGAAGTCTTTCCTGAATGGTTTTAGGCCACAGAGACATTGGTATTATATTTAGCAGTTGGAAGTGAAGCAGCAGCCATATGCTCTGAAGGTCAGAGTGGACCCCTGGTGTGGCTGTAACTCTTGGCCTGGGGCTGCGTATCTGCTGACTCATGCTGTTGGCATGATGTCCCAGTTGTGTCTGCATCACTATGGCTCCTACCAGAGCTTATTTAGCTTCTTGTACTGCTAGAGCAGGCTTATGTGCCATCCACAGCAGACCGTTGGCTTCTGCAGGTCACCCCTGTGACAGAAGTCGGAGGTGGACACGGGGTCCAGTTCATATTTATTTTCTCCAATTTCATGTCCAGTTTTTCAACCTGACTGACAGGCTGGCAGTTCATGGTGATCTCAGGCCATTGGAGACAAAGGCAGCAGCATCCCATAGACTTCTTCATCAGCTCCCATAATTGCAGAAGTTCTGTTCCTTAGAATAAACCCCACATTCCATCCATCACCTTCCTAGTGGTTCTATTGCTGATTGAATCCTGACGTAAACGATCTTTACCATCAGATTCTTGGCTCAGTAGAACAAAGAATGAGAGACTTTTCAGAAGGCAAATCACAATGGTTCAGGAGAGGTGTGCTAGTGGCTTGGATTGGTGTCCTAACTGTGAAAGTAGTGAACACTGTTTAAATTCTCAAATATTATTTTGTACATCTGCCTTTTTTCTTTTCTGAGATAACTGCAATCCCCAAACATGTATCAAAGTATCAAATCTTTTCTCTATCTTCTAGTGCAGATGAGATTTATAACAGCTCTAGGATCTTATTTATTTATGTTTTCCTCCACATTTTATTGCAGTATAACATGAATTTTTAAAAAATGGTCCAAAGCATAAGTGTATAGATCATTACATTTTCATGACACTCTTATGAAAGCAAGATTAAGAAATAGAATAATGCCAAGATCTCAGGATCTATTTTAATTCTATAATGAAGTCACCAATACCAAAGGTTATTACTATCCTGACCTCTACTGCCTGGCTTAGTTGGACTGTTCTGATCATGATATATAGTTTTTGTTGTCAAATATTTATTTGCTAATATTTTATTAGGATTTTTTTTTTTTTGCACCAATGTTCATCAGGGATATTGGTCTATAGTTTTCTTTCTTTGAAGTATCCTCTGGTTTTAGTATCGGGATGATACTGGCTTCTTAAAATGAATTTGGAAGTGTTCTACACTATTCTATTTCATGGAGTAATTTAAGGAGTATTATTGGCATTAATTCTTCTTTTAAAGTCAGGTCGAATTCAGCTGAGAATCCAACTGGTCCTGGGCTTTTCTTTGTTGGAAAATTGTGTTTTTTGGGGAGTGGTGGTGGTGGTGGTGGTGGTGGGGTTGTGTGTGTGTGCGTGTGTGTGTGTAAAACATGAGGCTATGATGCAATGGAGGGTATGATGCAATGAATTTTTTTTTTTTTTTTGAGTCAGAACCTCATTAAATTGCTGAGGCTGGTCTTGAACTTGCAATCAGCCTCCTGAGTTGCTGGAATTGCAGATTGTGCTACTGTACATGGCTTGGAAGGCTTTTTATTACTGCTTCAATTTCATTGCTGGTTATTGATCTGTTTAGGTTCTCTATATCCACTTGCCCCAATTTGGGTAGGTCACATGTCTATAAATTTATCCATTTCTTCTAGATATTCTAATGTTTTACTGTGTAAGTTTTCAAAGTAATTCCTGATGATTTATTGGATTTCAGAGATATCTGTGGTAATACTTCCCTTTTCATCTCTTCTCTCTTGGTTCATTGGCTAACAGTTTATTAATCTCATTCATCTTTTCAAAGAACCAATTATTTGTTATCTTTATCCTTTGTATTTTTATTCTACATTTTATTAATTTTGACTGATATTTCCTTTTACTGTTTTTGTTTTTTTTTAATTATGTGGTGCTGAGGATTGCACCCAGTGCCTCACACATGCTAGGCAAGCACTCTGCCACTGAACTACAACCCAAGGCCCCTTTAACTGGTTTTGAAATTGGTTTGTTCTTGCTTTTCTAAGACCCTAAGATATATTATTAGGCAATTTATTTGGCATTTTCCAGATTTACTTAAAATATAGGAACTCATAGCTATAAACTTTTTTCTCAGAACTGCCTTTACTCTGTCCCAGAGATCTGGTATATTATATTTATATTCTTGTTTGACTCTAAGAATTTAAAAATTTCTCTGGGTTTCTTCTAAAACCATTCATCATTCAAAAGTATGTTATTCAATCTCTTTGTTTATATAGTCTTCTGTATATTTTCTTGCTACTGATTTCTAATTTTATTCAAGTAGGATCTGATAAGATGCAAGGAAGTATATAAACTTTTTTCTATTTGCTAAGACTTGCTTTGCAGGTTAAAACATGGCCTATTGTGGAGAAATTTCCATGAATAGTTGAGAAGAAAGTGTATTCAGCTCTTGTTCGATGAATTAGTCTATAGATGTCTGTTAAGTCCATTTGATTTATAGTATTTTTTAGGTATAAAGTGTCTTTGCTGATCTCATGTCTATTGCTGAAAAACATGTATTGAAATCACAAAGTACCATCATATCAGGATCCGAGACTTTATATCAAGTAGCATTTGTTTTATATAATTAAGTTTACCAACATTTGGGCATAAATATTTACTATCACTTTATCTTCTTGTTGTATTTTTCCCTATACCACTGTGTGATGATTCTGTATATTCTGATTAATTTTGACCTGGTTGTTGAATATGAGAGTATGTGCTTTCCTTGCTTTCAGGTTCCATTTACATCAAATATCATTTTACATCCTTTTGCTTTTGGCCTGAACATGTCTTTGCCTATGAGGTGTCTCTTGAAGGGAACAGAGTTGGGTCTTGTTTTTTAATCCTGTCTGCCTGCCTATTGTCTTTTAATTGGAGAATTGAGGTCATTTACATTCAGTGTTATAGAGACGTGTTTATTATTTCCTGATATTTTTGATTTCTAATTCTCATTGTTTACTGCTCATCTAAGAGATTTATTCTTTCCAACCTCTTTTTACCCCACATTTTTTAAAATGTAAGATTTCTTTAAGTTTCATCTGCTATTCTCCCTTAGTAGTCATGAGTTATTTTTGTTTATACTTATCTTGGAAGGTTTTTATTTCTCCTTGGATTCTGAAGAATAGTTTTGCTAGATAGAGCAATCTTGGCTGGCAGTTATTTTAAGGTCTTGATGTAACATTGTTCCAAGTCTTCTGGAATTTAGGATTTCTGTTGAGAAATCCAATGTTTCTCTGATTGGCTTATCTCTAAATGTGACCTTTCTCTCTCTTGAGACTTTTAAAATTGTATCCTTATTCTGAATATTTGTCATTTTAATTATAGTGTGTTGTGGAGAGGTTCTTTTCTGGTCTTATCTGTTTGGGGTTCTAAATGCCCCCAGTATCTGGATGTCCATCTCATTCTTAAAATTCAGAATATTTTAATAGTATTATTTCACTGACTAGGCTATCAATGCAATTAGCCCATATCTCTGCTTCTTCCTCTGTACTTATGCACCTTGTTAAGTCTTTTAATGTCTCAGAGTTCTTGGATATTTTGATCAGTTTCTTATTTTGTCTTTACTACTGTCAGAATATTCCAGAGTATCTGCCTTGTACTCAAGCTCTGAACTTCTTCCATTTGATCTGTTGGAGTCTCTCAGCTGAGTTTAACTTATTGTGCCTTGCCTTTGCAGAATTCTTTTTCAGAATCTCTTTACTGAAATGCATTTTCATAACCCATATTTCCCCCTTAATTCATTGTTTAGATATTTGTTTAATTTACTGATCATTTTAACAATTTTTGAATTATTTTTCTGGCATTTCATTCACTTCAATGTCTGACTTTATCAACTTTTTGGTGACTTGTCTTGTTTCCTTGTTTTGCTGGGATCCTATATTTGTACATCTGTTGTGATGGACTTTTTTTTTTTGTGTGTGTGTGTGTCTTCCAGTGATCATTTATCTCTTTAAAATTACCTCCAGCCCAGTGATTATGCCAGTTGGATGTGTTGATACTAAAATAATCAAAGTGCTAATTTCAACTACCAGCACCACTTTGAGAGAAGAAAGTAACTGACAGTAACGGTGGTAATTTAAAAGCAAACTAAATATCAACATGTGCTATGAAAGTGGGTGTAAAATATAGAATATGCTAAAAAAAATCGAGCATTAATGATGCTATACTTCATACTAAATTATACTGCAGGAAGAGGGAAAAGAAGAGAAAGGAAAGGGAGGCAGAAAAGGGGAGAAAGGGAATACATATGAGAAAGAAGGAAGTAGCAAGAAAACCCCAATTAATTGAAAGAATACATCAAATGAGTTGGAATCATAAAAAACCAATGAGGGAAGACACAACAAAATACAAAAAAACAGGGGCCAAGGTTGGGGTTCAGCGGTAGAGTGCTCACCTAGCATGTGTGAGGCCTTGGGTTCGATCCTCAGCACCACATAAAAATAAATAAAGGTACTGTGTCCAACTACAACTAAAAAATATTTTAAAAAATTGGGGGGGGGGGGCTGGGGATGTGGCTCAAGTGGTAGCGTGCTCGCCTGGCATGCGTTTGTCCTGGGTTCAATCCTCAGCACTACATACAAAGAAAGATGTTGTGTCCGCTGAAAACTAAAAAATAAATATTAAAAATTCTCTCTTTAAAAAAAAAAAATTGGGGGGGCCAGGGTTGTGGTAGAGCACTTGCCTCACATGTGTGAGGCGCTGGGTTCAATTTTCAGCAACACATATAAATAAATGTCCATTACAACTAAAAAAAAATACTTAAAAAATTTAAAAATTAAATACAAAAAAACAGCTAATGCAACAATAGTCAAGATTTGCTCCTTGCTGAGATTTAAAATGGAGACTTTTTTTCATACTCTAATATAAACAAATGTGGGCTCACCTTCATAGTTTTCAGTTCTTTGGGTAAAATAGCATACAGCAGAGGTATGGTGTAGCCTAGCAGTTGGAGTGTCGGGTGGCAGCTGGTGGCTAGGGGCTGGCAGGGTGCAGTGTGGTGGCAAGAGGCTGGGGTGTAGGGCTGCGGCTGGGGTACGTGTGACAGCAGCTAATGGCCAGAGTGTGGGACTGTGGCTAGGCTATGGAGGGTTGGTGGTGTGGTCAATAATGGCCAGGAGTGGAGGTATATATTGTTCCATAGGCACCACTCTGCCTGACGGAGGCTCTTGATGGAGGCATAGTGCAGGTGCATGTATTCACTGCCCCCGAGGAGCTACACTCTTTGGAAGTGTTGTACACTTTGCTCTATCCTACCTCACTCCCACTGCAGACTCTGGTGTGTCACGAGAAGGGGGCTCCGCGGCCTAAGCTCAGTCTATTTACACAGGTTACAGGGCCAGCCTGTTGAAAAGGCATTCCATATATTGGTGAGATGAAGCTGCAGAGATTTGCTTGCTTCCTCACCTGTTAAGTTTAAAAATGATTTTTGCACAATGACTGCCCACCACAGTTCTCCACTAACAAATTGAAAAACACAATTCATGTTCGTTAGGTGGCTTTATCTCCTGCAACTAAACTCAGGACTGATTTTCAATTCTTCCACTGTTTCCAGACTTACCTGATGGTGCAAGTACTGGTTCTGGGTTAACAAATAATTTCTGTTTTCTAGTCTAGTAGCTAGAATTTGAGTCTCTACAAGTCTCTGACCTTCAACATTGAATCTGTGCATTCCTTCCATCACTTATATCTGATCTGATAGCTGTTTTCTCAGTCTTTTGATTCCAAACTCAACTTCCCATTACTTCTCCCATCAGCTGATTTTTTTTTTCATATTCATTCAAAATATTTTCCAATTGTTCATTTTTTTTCTTTGGTTCACATGGTGTTCTTTGATTCACTTAGCAGTATTTTTGGAAATTCAAAAATATTTTTTAAATTAACCAAATTTCCGGAGTTAGTGATTTGTAATTGTGATCAGAGAATATACTTAGGTCTTCATTAAAATTTTTGACCTATAGACTACAGCATATTGTTTAAAGGATGTTTCATGTTGGATATGTATTCTACTGTTAATAGAGGGTTTAATAACTATTGGTAATTAATGTTTAAGTCTTCTATATCCTTGCTGGATTTCCTTAAATTATTGAGAATAGGGAGTTGAAATCTCCAATCTTATTAACTATTTTTACCTCCAAATTTTTGTTTCATGTATGTGGTGTCTTGTTAGGGGCATACTTATCCATAATTGTTTTTATTTTACTGAGGGGATTACTCTTTTATCAATTAAATAATGTCCCTTTTTGTCTTTAGTGATTTTTTAAAAGCTATTTTATCTTATATTAGTATAACCACCCCTGCTATCTTGTCACCACTATTTGGATGGTATATTTTTTCCATCCTTTCATTAATTTTCCATCCACTAATTTTCAGCCTCTTTTTGCTTATTTACAAGGCTAAATTTATTATATCTGCATTTTACTATTTGTTTTACATGTCTCATATCTTTATTTCCCTTTTCTTCCCTTATTGTTGTCTTTTGTGTCTAACTGGTATTTTATAATGTATCATTTATATTTTTGTGTGTGTGGTGTTAGGGATCAAACTTGGGGCCTCATACATGCCAGGCTAGTGCTCTATCACTGAGCTACATCCTTTAATACTTCTTAACCTTGGGGTAAAATTACATTCTTAATGGTTACTCTAGGAATTAAATATATACATTAGCTTAAAAAATAAATCAATTTTTGGCTCCTGTAGAGCTCCCTTCCTCTGCCTCCTTCGTGCCATCACTAATACAAATGTGACATAATTCCATCTGGATATATTAAGGGTCTGATAATTTACAATTATTTTATGGTATTGTTTTTACCAGTTACGAATGTGGCTATATTTATATTTATCTAAGTAACAACATTAACAAAACTTAATTTCCTCATGTAGATTCAAATTGCCACCTGTTAGTTCCTTCTTTCAGCCTAAATAATTTTTTTTTTAAAGTAATTTTCCTTGTTAGGCAGTTCTGAGAGCAACAAATTAGTTCAGTCTTTATCTGATATTGTCCTTATTGGAGAGTTTGCTGGATGTGAAATTCCTGGTTAGCAGGTTTTTCTTTTTTGACAGTGCTTTTAGGTTTATTCCACTGCTTTTTGATCAGTTGTTTTTTTTTTTTTTTTTGAGCGAGAGAGAATATTTTAATATTTATTTTTTAGTTTTCAGCAGACACAACATCTTTGTTTCTATGTGGTGCTGAGGATCGAACCTGGGCCGCACGCATGCCAGGCGAGCACACTACTGCTTGAACCACATCCCCAGCCCTTGATCAGTTTCTTATAAGAAACTGACACTCATTGAGGATGCTATATGATGAGACATTTTTTCTCTTGCTGCTTTCAAGATATTCTTAGTTCAACTGTCAGAAGCCAAGGACAATCATGTGGCTGTCTATCACAGTTTGAGTAGGTGTTGGTATGAGTTTATCCTACTTAGGCCTTCTTGAGATTCTTGTAGATGTGCGTGCTTAGTCAGCTTTGGGAAGGTCTGACCATTGTCGTTTTTGGTGCTGAGGATTGGATGCAAGGCCTCCCTAAGCAGGTGCTTTACCACTGAGCCACACCTCCAGCTTATATTGTTTTTTCAAACTTTTTTTTCTGATCTTGTCCTTATATCATGTGCACGTTGGTATGATTGATGTTTTACAAGTCCTTGAGGTTCTGTTCATTTTTTTATTCTTCCTATTTTTCAAAGTACATAATTTCTATCCATCTATTTTCAAATTTACCAATTCTTTTTCCAGCTCAAATCTGCTGTTTTTTGAGCCCTTTAGTGAGTTTTTCCATTTCAGATCTTACACTTCTCAGCTCCAATTCCCATTTGGTTCATTTTTAAGCAGTCTGTCTCTGCACTGACATTCTCTATTTGGTGAGATCATCACTATACTTTTAGTTCTTTATACGTGTAGTTCTTTACATTTGTAACAGCTGCTTTCAGGTCTTTACTAAATTCAATACCTGAATGTTCTCACAGGAAGTTTCTTCTGCTTTTTTTTTTTTTTTCCACTGTGAATGAATTGTATGATGCTCCTTAACTTATAAGGGGGTTGCTTCCTAATAAACCCACTGGAAAATATCACAAGCTGAAAAAGGCATTTAATATACCTAAGCTATCAAACAACATAGTTTAGCAACACATTACAATACGGAGTACTGGTTGTTTACCATTGTGAATAAAGTGGCTAATGATTTGCTATGAGTCACTTCTGCTGCCCAACATCATATGAAAGTACTGTCCATTTTGCCTAGGAAATGGATTTAAACTCATATATTAAATAGAAATTATACTTTAAATTTAAAAAAATTATTTATGTTTAGGTGTAGATGGATACAACACAATGCCTTTATTTTTATGTGGTGCTAAGAATCGAACCCAGGCCCTGCTGTTGCTAGGCGAGCACTCTACTGCTGAGCCACAATCCCAGCCCCTGTATTTCAAATTTTATCACTTAACATTATTGTAAATTGGAAAGACTAAGTTTGGGACCCTATTTCACAACTCTGTAATCTGTCCACACCTACAATACACACCCAGGAATTATTTTCATTTCTGTATTTTTGTCCTTCAGAGACTTTGCTGATCTTATTCTATACTATTTCTTATAGTGTATGACCACAGACATTTCTGCTATTATGTTATTTTTCATATTCTAGGAATTCTGATCTGACTTCCTAGAAGTCACCTCTATATCAGCATAAGTGGTCACCTCTTATGGTTCAGATATGAACTGTCTCAGGAAAAGTTCATGTATTTGAAACAAGGTAGCCTCTGCAGGAATGTTCGTAGTTGTAATGATTAGACTATGAGAGCTGTGACCACATCAGTAGATTAATCCATTTGATGGATTAATAATTTGAATGGATTACTGAGTGGTAACTACAGGGAGGTGGGGCATGGCTGGAGGAAAGAGGTCATTGGGGGAATTATTTGGGGGATTATATTTTGTCCCTGGCTATTCATGTTTTTTTCCTTCCTGGCTTCTATGAGCTTTCTATCACTTCACCTTTCTGCTATGATGTGCTGCCTCCCCACAGTCCCAAAGCAATGCAGTTGGCCAACCATGGACTGAACCTTTGAAACTGTGAGCCCAAATAAGACTTTCTTCCTCTAAGATGTTCTTGTCAGATATTTTGGTCATAGCAATAAAAAGCTAACACATCACCAGATAATTAGAAAATTTCTTCAAGTGTCTTGAGCCAGTAGGTCTCTCCACCCTTTGCTGAGGGCATCTATGTGTTGGGGCATACCTTCAAAGTTCATAATTTTCAAGTGTGCCATAGCAAAGAAACATGGTAATTGAATTTCTTGGTTTATATGATAATTATCTATTTCTGTGTAACAAACTGCTCCAAAACTTAAGTGTCTTAAAGCAATATTTATTTCACTCATGCATCTGCAATTTGGGCAGGCAGAGGAATGCTGTCTCTGTTCCACTTGGTACCAGTTGGGCTGGCTTGAAAGCTAAGGGTTAGAATCATTTAAAGGTTGTACATACTCATATACCTGGTGCCTGATGGGGCTGTTGTCTGGAATATAAATAGGGACTCTAATCAGAACCTGTTATCTGGACCTTTCCTAGGGCTCTGGCATCCCAAGTATATCAATCAGAAACTATATTGCCTATTATGAGTTAGTCTTGGAACTCATGTAGTGTCACTTCTGCCACAAACACAGGCCTGCCTGCCCAGATTCAAAGGCAAGAATATGGACCCTACCTCTTGACGGGAGAGTGCAATATCACACTATAAGGATAGCATGTAGAACAGGATCCACTGGTGTAGCCATCTTTGGCAAGTACAATCTGCTGCATCAAGTGAATCAATGAAGGACAATGTAGTGGTGTGACACTGTACGCCAACTAATGGATTACAACTGAAATACAAATATCACCTATTAAGTATTCTTGTCAAATTATTTAATCTGAACCTCACTGAGTTTCTAATTCTAACTTCAATTCGTGAGAAATAGTGGGGATAAATGAGCACATTAAAAACATTTTGAAAAAAACAATGAGAAAAAAAATTATAATATTCTACACAACAACTATCCTAAACTTTGAAAAAAGTCAGTGTGATAACATTGGGGAAAAGGGCTACTCTTAAACTGTTCCACGATAGAAAAAAGAGACCGAATGTTAGAGATTATAGAATTATTAATCTCCTTAGTTGTGAAGCTATGTAGTAATTAAGTAGAAGGCAGCTTTTACTCTGAAAGGTTGACATGTCATGACATCCATTTATATTCAAATATTACAACAAAGACGTGTAAATATCATATTGACACAAACCAAATTATATATTAATTACTAATGAACATGGTGAGGACACACCAGGGGTCACTATACTATCTTAATTTTTCTGAATGGACAGTAATCTTTTGGTGGCTTCTAATTTACCAATTAATGGGAAGAAATTATAAATTATAGCATATCTTGTTTTTGGGTCATGAAAAGGCATTACAGCTTTCCTGGTTCTTTAAAAGCTTTATTCTTGTCATCTTTACACTCATGAAATCTAGAGATTTCTTTTTCCTATTTTCAGAGATGAGCTCTGCCTTTGGAAATAGAAGTTCACTCTATTTTACTGGATTTTATCTGGTTATTCACATTTACTGAGTGAAAGGTAATGGGTGGTTTTTAAGTTCACCCATGTAGTATTCCTCTCAAGTGAATTTACTAACGGTACCATCAGTGATAAAAATAATATGGTAGGGACTGTGGCTATAGCTCAGTGCAGTGTACTTGCCTAGCACTTGTGAGGCACTGGGTTCAATCCTCAGCACCACATAGAAACAAAGGTATTGTGTCCATCTACAATTAAATATAACAAAATAAGAACAGTAATATTAAGCACATGCTTTCTCAAGTACTCTTCTAAAAGTTTCCATTTTTATTTCATCCTCACAAAAATACTACTAGGTAGATACTATTACTACCACTTTAAAACTGAGGCACAGAAGGGAAGAGTCTTGCCAACTTCTGCACAGGCAGAAGTGAACTTATGACTTAGAACAATGATGTGCTGTGGCTGAAGTCCTTCCTACACTCATTTCATTAACAATCATCTTCTGTTCTAGTTCTAAAAGAAGTGTGGACCATGTGGACGAATTGTTTGCTTCTGGTTTACAATGAGTTAAGGGCCAGACAGTGGGAGCAAGCGTTTAGAAATTTATAGCAATCTGACAGATGATTTATGGCATTAAATTAAATAAGAAAAATGGAGCTTTTATAGTGTTCCTTTCCATTTCCTCCCCATCCCCCTGTAAACCAATGTTCTTGCACTTTACAGAAGTACTGCTCAACATCAGCTTGTGAGGGGGAAAAAGTTCTTAATGGCTTGAGCTGCACTGCGCCATAATCAGTCTGCTAAACCTGAATCAAGACTGAGTGATGTTATGGTTTTGAAACTTTAAAAACCAACATGTAAAATAATTTGTAAATATGAAGCAAAAGTGATTCCTATATATTCCCTAATGTGTAAAAATACATTACGAATCCTTGATGTAAAAGGCATTTTCAAGAAGCCATTGTATCCTCTACATCATGCATAGTGTTTCCTCACTAGTATGACTTCTCTGGTGTAAAGTAAGCTGGTCACTACGAATAAAGGCCTTCCCACACTCTTCACACTTATAAGGCTTTTCACCAGTGTGAATTCTGTGATGTCGAGTAAGTTCTGAATTAACATTAAAGGCCTTCCCACACTCCTTACATTTATAAGGTTTCTCTCCAGTATGAACTGCGTAGTGTCGGGTAAGTTCTGCTTGAAGGCGAAAGGCATTCCCACATTCCTTACACTCATAAGGTTTCTCACCAGTATGAAGTCTAAAGTGTTGAGTAAGATGGTACCGACGACTAAAGGTCTTCCCGCACTCCTTACATACATATGGAATCTCACCAGAGTGAATCCTTTGATGTAAGGTAAGTTGATAACTACAAATAAAAGCATTTCCACACTCACTACAGACGTAGGGTTTCTCACCAGTGTGGATTCTGTAATGTTGAGTAAGACGATAGTGACGACTAAAGGTCTTCCCACACTCCTTACATTCATAAGGTTTTTCACCAGTATGAATTCTGTAATGTTGAGTAAGATGATTGCTACGAATAAAGGCTTTCCCACATTCTTTGCATTTATAAGGTTTTTCACCAGTATGAATTCTGTGATGTTGAGTAAGTTCTGTCTGAAAACGAAAGGACTTTCCACATTCTTTACATTCATAGGGTTTTTCACCAGTATGAATTTTATAATGTTGAATAAGATTGTAACGACGACTACAAATCTTCCCACATTCTTGACATTCATAGGTATTCTCATTAGTGTGATTTCGCTGGTGTGAAATAAGTTGACTGCTACGAATAAAAGCCTTCCCACATTCCTTACATTCATAAGGTTTCTTGCAAGTATGAATCCTGAGATGCCGGGTAAGCTCTGCTTGAAGTCGAAAGGCTTTCCCACATTCCTTACACAGGAAGGGTTTTTCACCAGTATGTATTCTGTAATGTTGAGTAAGATGATAGCGGCTACTGAAGGTTTTCCCACATTCCTTACATTCATAAGGAACATTACCAGTATGAGTTCTCAGATGTAAAGTAAGTTGGTAGCCACAAATAAAACCCTTCCCACATTCTTTACATTCATAGGGCTTCTCACCAGTATGAGTTCTGTGATGCCGAGTAAGTTCTGTTCGAAGACGAAAGGCTTTCCCACAGTCTTTACATGCATAGGGTTTCTCACCAGTATGAATTCTATGATGTCGAGTACGTTCTGCATAAAAACTGAAGGACTTACCACATTCCTTACATTTGTAGGGTTTCTCACCAGTATGAATTTTCTGATGTTGGACAAGGTATGAACTGTGACTAAAGGCCTTCCCACATTCATTACATTTATAGGGTTTTACACCAGTATGGATTTTCTGATGTTGACTGATATGTCGTTGTACCCTAAAGGTCTTTCCACAAACCTTACATTCGTAGGGCCTCTCACCAGTGTGAATTCTTTGATGTTCACCAAGTTGATAGTTAAGTCTAAAGGTCTTCCCACATTCTTTACATTCATAGGGTTTCTCCCCAGCATGAATTGTCTGATGTACTCTGAGGTCTCTAACTCGACTAAAGGTCTTCCCACATTCCTTACACTCATAGGGTCTCACACCAGAATGTATTCTCTGATGTTCAGTAAGGTGATAGTGAAGTCTAAAGGCCTTCCCACATACTTTACATTCATAGGGTCTCTCTCCAGCATGGATTGTCTGGTGTACTCTAAGGTCTCCCACTCGACAGAAGGCCTTTCCACATTCCATGCATTTATAAGGTCTCTCACCAGTGTGAATTCTCATATGTTGAATAAGGTAAGACTGTTGTCTAAAGGCCTTCTTACATTCCTTACATTTATATGGTTTCTCTCTAGGATGAATTTTCTGTTGTAGAGGAAGAGAGATTTGGTTTTGGATTATCATTTGACTAATGCATCCCATCTGATGTTCCTCTTTTCTCTCAAATTCACGCTTGTTCTGCAATCCATTTCTGAAAATGGTATCCCCATTGTTGGTTTCATTTTTTTCCACTGTCTGAAATTGAGACAAATATTTTTCACAAACATCCTTTTCTGGAAATAACTTCTTGGTGAAATCTGTTTAAAAAAAATAATAATAATGCTAGTTTCTGTGTTGAGGGTGCAATGATGGGCTACATCTTTCAATAGAAATAAAAAGTGATCTGAAATAACAGACTTAAAGGTTTGAAGCAAGACTCAGCAAATTTTGCTATAAAGGGCCAGATGGTGAAGGTTTTAGGCTTTGTAGACATGTTGTATCTGTCATAATTACTTAGCTCTGCTGTTAAGCTCAAAAGCCGTCACAATCTGTAAAACTGAATGAGTATAGCTGTGGTATGAAGTTTGAGTCTGAAAACACCTTTTCTCAATCATTGAACATTAAGTCACTTCCTCAGGAAGACTGCCCTGATAACCATGTCTAAGTCCATGTTCTTGATTTTATATTCCAGCACACAGTTCTGTGACTTTCCTCAATTATATATTTTCTAACTTATTGTATGAATTTTATTTGTGTCTATACTTAGAGACTTATAGGTATCTGTTTCAATTCCTGACACTGAATAAGCCTGAACCCCGGACATGTTAAATAACTGCAGAACAAATACACCACTGGATTCAAAAGATAACACAGCCAGAATAAAAGCAAATATTGCATACAAGTTACTGAGGAAAGTAGCTAATTATTATAATAACTGGTATATTTTGCGAAATTATGAATATACCTCTGATTCTAATCTCTCAACAAATATGCTCTTATTTCATTCCCCTATAAAGGAATAATAGTAATAATAATACTCAAGCTACATCAGCCAAATGTATAAATTGAAAAATCAGTTATAAAAATGACATTTTTCTATCACCTATTTGTTACTTTGACCTAGTTTCCCCACTGTTTATATCCCACCCTGTGTACAGTCACCATTGATTGTCTCTGCCAACTAGAATAATACTAAGATATTAAGCATCAGCTGGGTTTTAGTATTCATTCCACAGATACTCAAACTCCAATAATTATATTGTAGGTTCTTGCTGGTAAAGTAAGGGAGGAAAATAATAAACATCAGGAAGAAAATAAGTCTTTATTCATAGATGAAGTGGGTTGAATAGTGGCCTCCAGAAAAGATATCCAAGTCCTAACTCCTGGTACCTGTGAAAGTGACCTAATTTGAAAAGTCTTTACAGATGTTATCAAGTTAAAGATCTCAAGATGCAATCATCTGAAATAATAGGTGTACCTAGAATGAGATGAAGATTACATCATTGTCTCTTGTATCTGGTGTCTAAAGATGAGACGGCCAAGCTAAGGAACACCAAGGATTGTCACCAACCACCATTTCATAAATTGTCAGGCTCGCCTGGCATGCATGCGGCCCAGGTTTGATGTTCAGCACCACATACAAACAACGATGTTGTGTCTGCCAAAAACTAAAAAATAAATATTAAAATTCTCAAAAAAAAAAAATAGATTCAGAAGGCTAACATTTTGTTCAGAATCTCTCCATCTGTTTGAGAAATCTAAAAAATCCTTTATAATGTCTGTCTGGTTTTGGTATCAAAGCAATACTGGCCTTGTAGAAAGAGTTTGGAAGTATTCAAGTTTCTAGAAGAGCTTGTCTACAATTGATTAAAAAATATAAAAACTTATAACTAAAACTTTTAGAAGACATGACATAATGGCTGAAAAGAGGCACCTAACACAAGGAAGAACCAAAGCAACAGGTGTATAACTGCACACTGAAGTGAGTAACCAAGAGAACACTGGAAATCAACAGAAAAGTAGAAATCTTGGAAATCCAGAGACCTGGAATAACTGCATAGTAAGAGAAGCAATACAGCTGGGGGAAATGGGACCTATCCTCCCGAAGGTAAAGGTGAAAGGAAGTCCCAGAAAACTCAGTTGGTGCATACACTGGCAGTCCTAGCTATTGGAAACCCTTACAGGCAAGCGACCCAAGAAAATAAGAAACCAAAAATCTGCATAGTAGGCTGGCTTTGGAAAAAAGACACTCTCAGTGAACAAGCAGGGTGCTATAGCCAGAACCCATGTTAAGACAGGACCTTCTGTCTGAATTTGGACTGTTCAAGAGGACAGAAACCCTTGCACATTTCCATCTCTGGGTCCCCACAAACATTGCACTGCAATGGCTAAATTCAGTAACTTTCACACAAACCTGAGTATATCACTGTAGGGAATGGGTGTTGTAAAACAGAAGGGAACAAAGGCTGCCACCTCCAGAAAAGGAGATCTGTTCTCCAAGACCAGGGGTGTGGCCAGTCATGTGGTTTCACATGGGTGCCAGGACTAAAGGCAATTACACAATTCCTGCTAACCCTCTCCCTAGCACCACACACAGGTGCCTGTCACAAGGCAGGGAAAGAACTCTGGTTCCAATGCTTCTTTTTGCCCCTATGAAGCACTGGGCTTGCACCAGTGTCTAATCAAAGGGTGAGTGCTCTGGGCTCTCCCTACTATCGGAGCACCAGAATTAATAGGACCAAAGACAAGGAGTTAATAGCACCAGTGCCTGAGGGAACCCCCCATTACCTGATAGGGATAACCACGCCCATTGTAGGAGTTGCATAGTGTTGTCTGCACCACACCTGCCCGACTGCTCATGTCCCCCAGTCTTCCATGACCCATAGAGAATGAGTCTGACTCCAATATGATACTATGTACAAACTCACTAGATACAGCCAAAGAAGCTACAGGGAGATTATGGTTATGCAATGTTTATTTCTGCCTGGGGACCAACAAATATGGGAAAAAATGCCTAAAGGTCGTAAATGCTCTAGTAAAAGACTTTAAAGATGTTGAAGTAGATGAAATGCCTGATAAAGAATTCAAAAAATGGGGCTGGGGATGTGGCTCAAGCGGTAGCATGCGCTCCTGGCATGCGTGCGGCCCGGGTTCGATCATCAGCACCACATACAATGATGTTGTGTCTGCCAAAAACTAAATATTAAAAAATTCTCCTTAAAAAAAAAGAATTCAAAAAATGACTTTTTAAAAGCTTGATGAAATCCATAAAAATAAATCCATAAAAATACATATAAGCAGTTAAATTAGGAAGACAATGCAGGATAATGAGAAATCCAACAAAGAATAAAGATTGTGAAGAACTATCAGAAAACTCAAATGAAGAGCTCAATGTGTCAAATCCAGTTGAAAGCTTCAAAAACAGACTAGATAAAGTGGAAGGAAAGAATACTGGAGCTTTAATTATAGGTCTCTTGAATATCAGATTCAGATAGGAAAAAAATGCGTTCAAGATCTTTGGGGGGCTGGGGATGTGGCTCAAGCGGTAGCGCGCTCGCCTGGCATGCATGCGGCCCGGGGTTCGATCCTCAGCACCACATACAAACAAAGATGTTGTGTCCACTGAAAACTAAAAAATAAATATTAAAAAATTCTCTCTTAAAAAAAAAAAAAAAAAAAAAAAAAAAGATCTTTGGGACACCATTAAAATATCAAACATCCACATCATCCACATAGGGGAAGAAATTAAGGCTAAGGGCATAGAAACCCTATTCAAAGAGATAATTGAGAACTTCCCTATTCTTGGGAAAAACATGGGTGTCCAGGAATAAGATGTTTATAGAAACCCAAACAGACATGATCAGAAAAGATCCTCACTATGACAGTCAAACTGTCAATGGTAAAGAATAAAGAATTTAAAAATCTGCAAGTGAGAAACAAGTCACATTTAAGAGCAACCCCATTAAATTTCATAGGAAAAAATCCTCCAAGCCAGGAGGGCACAGAATGATGGTTTTCAAGTCCTGGGAGAGTTGTGAGGACTGTCAACCAAGATTACCATACCCATCAAGTAATCCTTCAGAAAAGGAGAAATAAACAAAAGGATAAACAAAAACTAAGGGTATTCATGGTCCCAAAACCAGCCTAACAAAAGATGCTTAAGGGAGTCCTACACTCAGAAGAGGAAGAAAGGTAATGTGAAAGTATAATCCTACAAGAAAAGTACTTGTATAAAAGAGAAATAGAAAAGAATACAGTAAATTATCAAATCACAAAGATGAATAAAAGGAAGAAACATGAAATATTTAAAACTAGAAGAATATCAACAAAATGCCAGGCACAAGTCCATATCTTTCAATAATGTAAGACATTAAATTCTCCAAATAAAAGACACAGACTGGCTGACTGGATTAATAAACAATATCCAACAATCTACTGCCTACCAGAAACACTTCACCAATAAAGACAGGCTAAAAATGAAAAGATAGAAAATAATATTTCAAGCAAACAATCCGAAAGCAAGTAGGAGTAGCTATTCTTAAAGCCAACAAAACAGCCTTTAAGACATAAACAGAGGGGCTGGGGCTGTAGCTCAGTGGCAGAGCCCTTGCCTAGCATGTATGAGGTACTGGGTTTGATCCTCAGCACTACATAAAAATAAACAATAACGGCATTCTGTCTAAAACTACTAAAAAAAAGTTTTTTTTAAAAAGACAAAGAAGGTTGCTATATAATGATTAAAGGATTTATCAAGAAGATACAATTATAAGTCCAAATGTACCTAATTTCAGAACATCCAATGTTATAAACAAGCACATACCAAAAGGAAAGAAATAGGCTTCAATAATTCCAATAATAGTAGGGGATCTCAATATCCCATTCTTACCAATGGATAGCTCACCCAGACAAAATATCAGAGAAACATCAGAGTACCTGGGGATTCAAAAGGAAACATTATATTCTATATCACATAAATCAATTAGGGATTATTTTGAAAAACTACATGCTAACAAGTTGGAAAATCTAGAAGAAATTGGACAAATGTGTGGATACAAAGAACCTATGAAAATATAATATACATAGAATGATATAAAACAGCTGATCTAAACCAATAAGTAATGAGTTGAGGGCTGGGGCTGTATCCATGTGGCAGAGCACTTGCACTGGGTTCGATCCTTAGCATCACAAAAAAAATAAAGGCATTCTGTCCATCCACAACTACCAAAAAAAAAAAAAAAGCAATGAGCTGAATCAGTAATCATTTCCAAAAAAAAAAAAAAAAAAAAAGGACCACATGGGCTTATTGCTAAATTTTATCAAACTTTTAAAGAATTAACACCAATGCTAGCAAATTGAATTCAACAGCATAACAAAAATATCATACCCATGATCAAACTGGTTTCATTCCAGGAATATAAGGATGGTTAAAATAATACATAGAATGAAGAATAAAAATCAAAACCTCAAAGATGCAGGAAAAGAATTTGCTAAAACTCAACATCTCTTCATGATAAAAGCCTTAAACAAAGAAGGAACATCAAGATCATATCTCAAAGGCTATATATGACAAACACATAGCTAATAACATACTAATGGGGAAAAAACAAAGCATTTCCTATAAGGTCAGAAACAAGGATGTCAGCTCTCATTCCATATACTAGAAATAAACTAGTATTATAAATTTTAGAGCAATTAGGCAAGAGAAATAAAAGGTATACAAATAAGAAAAGATGTCAAATTATCCCTGTTTGCAAATATGATTCTATACATAAAAAAAACTTAAAAAAATGCACCAAAAGACAGACTATGAGAATGGATAAATGAATCCAATATATTAATAGTATTTAAAAAAAATATAAAAATCGGTAACTTTTCTTTACCAATAATGAATTTGCAGAAAGAAGTCATAAAAGCAATTCCATTCAGAATAGCCCTCCCCCCAACAAATACCTAGAATAATTTAAGGAAATGAAAGACCTCTATGATGAAAATTAGAAAACACTGAAGAAATGGAAGACACCACAAGGTAGAAGGACCTACCATGTTCATGAATTAAAATAATTGTTAAAATGTTCATACTATTCAAAGCAACTCTAGATTCAATGCAACTGCCATCAAAATACCAACAATATTCTTCACAGAATTAGAAAAGACAATCCTAAAATTTTTATGGAAACACAAAAGAACCCCAAATAGCCAAAGCATTCTTGAGCAAAAAAGCAAAACTGGAGGCATCGTAATACCCAATTTGAATACATGCTATAGGACTACAGTAATCTAAACAGCATGGTATGGACACAAAAACAGACACATAAAACAAAGGAAAGAATGAGTACTCAGAAATAAACTATGCATCTTAGGCAAGAGAAATAAAAGGTATACAAATAAGAAAGGTATACAAATAAGATTATCAACATTACACAAAACATACATTGGAGAAAGTACAGCCTCTTCAGCAAATGTTGCTGGGAAAACTGGACATCCACAAGCAAGAGATTGAAACTAGACTTCAATCCCTTACTCTGTACAGAGCAAGGGATCTAAGGATCTAAATCAATTCAAAATCTTTAAGACTTGAAACTTAAATTACTTTGGGGAAACACAGGGGGAAAATACTTCAAGATATTGGTATAGGCAATGATTTTCCAGATAGGACTCCAAAAGCACAGAAAACATGAGCAAAAATTTAAAAATGGGATTATGTCAAACTAAAAAGCTTGCACACAGTAAAGGAAACTATAGTGATGAAACAACCTCTTCAGAAGAAAATATTTGGCATTTATTCACCTGACAAGGTTAATATCCAGAATATAAGAATAACTAAAACAACTTTTTAAAAATCCAGTTTAAGAATATGGGCAAATCATCTGAACAGTTCTCAGAAGAGGAAATACAAAAGATCAGTAAATATTTTTTTTTAAATGTTCAGCATCTAGCCATTAGAGAAATGCAAATCAAACTACAATAAGATACCAGTTAGAATGGCTATTATCAAAAAAATTATATCCTCACCAGCATTAGTTATTTATTTAAAGAAAAAGAACTCATATGTGATCAGTGGGAATGTTAAATGAATACAGCCATTGTGGAAAACTGTGGTGATTCCTCAAAAAAAATTGAACTCCTATACAACCCAATTATCCCACTACCAAAGAAAATGAAGCCAGCATAAGAAACAGATACCTGCATGTCCATGTTTCCTGCGGCACTTTTCACAATAGCTAAGGTAAGGAATCGGTGTAGGTGCCTGCCAACAGATGAATGCATAAAGAAAATATGATACGTATAGATAATGCAGTATTATTCAGCCAAAAAGGAGGATAAAATTCTGTCACAGCAAAATGGATGGAAATTGAGGACATCATGTTAAGTGAAATAAGCTAGACACAGAAATCTGACAAGAATTACATATTCTCTCTCATGTGGGAAAAAAAAAAGTCAACCTGAGAGTAGAAAAGTGATTACTGGGGACTAGGAAGGGTGGCAGAGGCTAAAGGTAGAAGGATGGATGGGTGTGATCAATGTACATTATATGCAAGTATGGAATTTCACAGTGAATCCCATTAATCCATACAATTAGTATGTGTTACTAATAAGTTTAAAAGAAAACAGAAAAGCTTTGTATCTTGAGGGTTGCTAGATATGCTACTAAAAGCATAGTCAATGAAAGAGAAAAGTAATAAACTCTACTTAAGAGTTTATGCTATTCAAGAGATAAAAATATTCCAGAGAAAATATTTATAAACTAAATACTGGATAAAGGACTTGTTCATGAAAACTCAATAATAAGGAAACAACACAGGTAGAAAAAAGGCAAAAGATTCCAATAGACACTTCACCAAAGAAGAAAAATGGATGAGAACTTAAGCAATGAAAAGTTGTTCAAGATGATTAGGGTTAGGGAAATGAAAATTAGAACTACAATATGATACCACTACCCACCTATTAGCATAGCTAAAATTAAAAAGGCTGATCAAGTGCTGGCAAGAACACAGAGGTGCCAGAACTCCCAGAAACTTCTGCTGGGAAGGAAAATGATCAAAACTACTCTCAGAAAGTGTTGCAGTTTTTTTTTAACTTAAATATGCATTTATCAAATGATTCACCTATTCCATCCAGATATTTACCCAAGAGTAAATAAAGTATATGCCCATATAAGGACTTTTACAAGAATGTTCCTAGAAGCTTTATTTGCAATAGACAAACTCTAGAAATAACACAATGTCCATCAACATGTAAATAGCTAAATGAATTGAGATACATCCTTTCAAAGGAATACTTCTCAACATTAGAAAGGATGAATTTCAAAATAATTATGCTGACTAAGGCTAAATGAACAATCATTAAATGATTCCATTTATACAAAATTCTAGAAAATGCAAACTAATCTGTAGTGACAGACCAACGAACAGTGGGAGCCTGGGCAGGGGGTAGAGAATGGCATGAGGAAGATTGTTTTTGCAAGAATTGGATATTATTTTAATTTTGCAATGTTTTCATAATATACATGCCAACTTATCAAATTTTATATTTTAAATATGCAGTTTACATTATGCCAAATTTCATTTCTATTTCAATGAAACTATTTTTAAAAATTAGACACACTTAAAATGGGTACATAAAAATATGTACCCATGTATATATGATTAAGAAAATACATTTGGCAGGTGCTCTGGCACATGCCTATAATCCCAGAAGCTTGGGAGGCTGAGGCAGGAGGATGGCAGTTTCCAAACCAGCCTCAGAAGCTTAGGCCAAATGACTTTTGAGGAAGGGTATTCTGAGACTTTATTTCATATCTGCTCAAAGTTCATCAATTTGGATAGCCTTTCCTGATCTTATCTAAAGTAGCCCTCACAATGTCCCAATACTGTCCCCTTATCTGGCTTAATTTTCTTCAAAATACATATCTAAATCTGATATTGTCTGTTTAGTTTTCCTTACTACGATATCAACATCTCTATGACAATAGGAACAATCATCAGTAGTACCTAGACTCTAACACAGTAAGTACAGTGGCTTACACTAGATAAATAGGAAATACTTGTTAAAATTAATTCTAAAAAATGGAGAAATTAACATAAATCTACATGTAAAAAAAGGACCTGGAAACTGGTAAATGGCTATCAAAGGGTAATAAAGAAAGCATCACTCCTTGAAATGGGAAGCAGCCAGCAACCAGCTCTAAAATTTATAGGAGTTGGGGATGTAGCTCAGTAATAGGGCTTGCATCCCGAGCACTGTTGGGGGGGGGGGGGGGGAAGGAACATGACAGAAGAGAGAGGAGCCTAATTTCCTAATTTTTATAGGCTTCACAGGATCTGGGCCTTTGAAGTGAGACTTCAAACATTTCAGCGACGTGCCTCCTCCCTGAGCCAGTGAGCCATAGCTTATGCTGGCTCCCTGCCTGGTCTGCCATCACTCACCTGAGGACTGCCTTCTTGTTTCTTCCCTCGTTTCCAGCCACGGATCTTTCTCTTGCTCCAATAAAACAATCACATCTGGCTTAGGAATGATACATCCTGCTCATGAGAAAAAAACAGGATACATGTTATAGGGAAAAAACCCACCAAATCCCAACCACAGCCTCAAAATGACTACATGCGGACTTGGTTACATTCACAATCAGCTGTAGGTCAAATGGTATTTGAAAAAGCCTTCAAGACAAAACAGAAAAAGGCCATGGAACAGTCACATTAAGATGGACCCATGAGTATGGGACTAAAGTGTTAGAGTCTGTAAACAAGTCAAAATAACACCTGGCATTTTGCCAGGGGAATGTTAGAGTTCGTAAACAAGTCTGGATGGTGCCTGGCAAAATGCCGGAGGGAGTGGTTTGAGAAGTAACAAAAACAAGCCATTAAGTGTGGAGATTCCTTATTGGTTGACTGATGTATCTAGTTTATGCTAATTAGATAAGCTGTGTGGAATGTATAAATACTGCTCCTGTCCTGCAATAAACGGCTCCCACTCCTGCTGTATCAACGTGCACAAGTTGTTCGTCACCCCCCGGTTATTTTGCTGCAGCTGGACTGCGGCACTAAAGAGACCAGGTAAGAGAGGAAAAAGGTCCAGTTTGCTTTCAAAGGGAGTCTACAGAGGCACCGTGAGCACACACTGTGCAGCCCCATGGCTGGCTTCAAATCTGCCAATCATTCCAGCTGTGTGACCTTGAAAAGCTACCATCCAGTGCTGCACTTTTATCAAATGCACTACTTCATAGGGCTGAAGTGAGAACACAAACACAAAGGGGCTTAAAAGGATGCCTAGAAATTATAGTAGTATTTTGTTGTTACTATTTTGCATAGAGAAATATACTGTTTCCTAAAATACTTTCATGTTCTCCCTTAGACATTTCTTCAATGGAAAAAGCAAACTTCATAGACTAACTTTCAACTATAAAGCAGGTTAAAAAGAATATGTCTCTTCCAGATAGGGTGTGTTTGCTTGATTTTAAATGAATTTTGCAACCCAATCCTCCACCATTTAATCCAGAGATGTTCTTTTGATAACCTAAAAAAAAGCAGAACCCTAATTCTAACTGTTCTCTTGCAGGTGGGCCAGACCTGAATACAGAGCCACTGTAGAAATATTAGATGAAACCTGGTTTCTGAAAATGTCACACAACTCAAATCTACAAATCACCTAGAAAAACAGGCAATAACAGGAGGGGCCAGAGGGAGGAATGAGTGTCAATAAAGAATGGAAACACAGGTGTCATTTCCATCCCACAATATTCAAACCATTTCTTATTTTAGAAATAGGGGCAAAAATTCAACTGGCTTCTTAAAACAAAGCTCTAAAGTTCAACAGTGGAGAGAGCTGATATTCCAAAAAACAGACTATAAATGATGTGGGTGGGTATCTTACCCAGTGAGATGAGGTTGCTGTAGTTTTCCAACATCACATCCCTGTACAAGTCCCTCTGAGCAGTATCCAGGCACTCCCACTCCTCTTGAGAAAGATCTATGGCCACATCCTTGAATGCCAAGGACACCTGAAATAACAAATCCATGTATTATAAAAGTTTTTTAAAATGCATTTTCAAGATAAAAAACTAGCAGGAAAGAAGCAACATTGTAAGCAAGCAAACTGGGGCTTGAGCTTGCAAAAATAAGGAAATTAGTCTTTTTAAAATATTTTTTTTTTATTTGTGGGTGGACACAGTACCTTTATTTATTTATTTTAATGTGGTGCTGAGGATCAAATACAGTGCCTCAAATGTGCTAGGCAAGTGCTCTACCACTGTGCTACAACCCCAGCCCAGGAAATTAGTATTTTTGAAGTTGAGTGCTTACATGCTTTTAAAGAATACTAATGATACAGACAAAATGTCCTGCATGTCATCAGATAACAAAATTATCCAAAGGTCTGGGAATGATCAAAAAAAAAAAAAAAATCCAAGTTTCCCAATTCAATGAAATAGCATACGCAAGCACACACTGCCTGCTTGTACCTGCATTTTAAATCCTGAATAAATATGTTTCTTCATTTTTTCTCCCTTCAGGTTATTAGGAAAAAGACATTTTTTCTCCAAAAGTACTCTCAAATCTCTTAGAAAACAGAACTTGAATGACATTATATGATTTCATCAACTTCAAGTTCATCTTTACACAAGAGAATGTCATAAAGTCATTAGGAAATATATTTATTGGCTAGTTAATCGTATTATCTACTGCTATGGATTGAGTATGGTTTACGCATGTCCCTAAGGATGTGTTGAAATTTAATCCCTATGAGGTATTAAGAGGGTGGATCTGGGCATAGTGCTGCATGCCTGTAGTCCCAGCCTCCTGAGAGGGAGGCTGAAGCAGAAGGTCCACTTGAGCTCAGGAATTAGGGGCTAGCCTGGGTAACATAATGAGATCCATACCTTAAAGAGAATGGAACTCAATCTGACTATGGTGTTCAGAGGCGGGACCTTTGGAAAGTGATTAGAATTAGATAAGCTTATCAGGGTAGAGTCCCCACGATCATACTAGTGGCTATATAAGAAGAAAGAAATCAGAGAACATGAACATGCATGGATGTGCCCTGCGTCTTGCTGTGTGACTCCCTGACCATGGGCTTCCAGAACTGTAAGCCAAAATAAACCACTTCTTTACAAAGTACACAGCCTAGGCTATTCATTAGAGTAACATAAAACAAACACGTCCATCTTGTGGACAAGTCAGTTAATCTTTTATACTTAAGGGCTTACGTTGGATAAAATGTTGACGTCAGACTATTTCCATCCATCATTGGGAATCTGGAGGACTTTCCTGCCTACAACCTCCCCATCCTTCAGTAACACCCGCCTCGTTCCTGATGTCATGAGACCAGTACAACATTCTCAACCACAGAGCTAAACTGACTTTTGTCCTATTGCTCACCCCTTAGATAATCCCCTGACTAGATCCCTAAAGCCCCCAAACAGGGCCCCCATTGCGCTCCCACTGAGACCTCTAAGCCTCTCAGTGCATAAGATCTGTCTTCATCTGGGATGGCAACACGCTCAACAATATATTCCATCGACCTGGAAAACAGGCCTTTGAAGTTGGATGGAACCATCTCTGTTTCACAGAATCATGAATCTGATGACAGAAGCTCAAATATTTCCCTTGAGGGACTTCATCTTTCACTGCTCTGTCAATGCTCCTGCAAGAAGACAAGGCACACAGATGAGGGATGAATAGGTGAGCACAGGTAAGAGAAAACAAGGGCAGATGAAGAGGACACCAGGCAGTTTGGCACCGTCCCTCACTGTGGTCACAGTAACTGAGGAGCAGGCTTCACAGGACTGTCTTAGGAAAGAAGTCTCAGGACAATATAAAACAACTGCACGGGGGAGGGGAGTGTGGGTCAGCGGTGGAGAGTCTGACTAGCAAGTGAGAGTTCTCCTGGCTTTGATCCAAGAACTACAAAATAAAACTTAGAAATGACCACATAAATTTTAAAATACAGTATTTCAAGGAAGAGAAACAGGAACTTACATGGGCCATGATTTTAGAACTGTAAGAACTTGTCAGTCCTCTGTGGGTTCCCTCCACTGCAGAAGCAGAGTCCAGAGAAGCCAGGCCTGTGGAGGAACAAGTGACTTTGAGACTAGGTAGGGACATGTCAGAACTCCACAAATAATTTAATGCCAATATGAAGCAGTTTTTCCTTCATTTCTATTTTCAACCCCACCATGCTGCACGTATTAATGTGGAGAGATGAGCAGAATTACGGATGAAGCCATGCCCTCCCTAGGCCAAAGGAACTACCTGCACAGACCTCCTGCAGGACGCCAAAGCACTCATTCCAGCAGAAGGGCCTCCTGGCCCATCCCAATTTCTGATGATGCTGATTTGTAGCTGAAATTGAATGACGTCCCTAAGCGAATTGTCTTTGTCCATGTTCACCTAAGAGCTAAGATGTGGCCATCCCATGCAAACCCCAATATCATTCATGGCTTGAATGTGTGCCTAGATTCTGAGACATGGAGGCAGAAAACAGCAGGCAGTGTTTCCCACTGCAAAACTGACCGGAGTTCTTGCTCAGCCAGAACTACAGCCCCCATAATCCCCTGTGCTCTTTTCAACCAACCTCTGTTTCCTATCAGGATTGTCTATTTTACTTTGCCGCATGAAGTCACGACTACACACACACACACACAAATACCCGTCTCAATATCAAGCCTCGGGAGGTGAGACTTCATGACCACATTGGCCAAGTGAGAACAAAATGAGACATCTTTAGGATCTTCAGCGTTTTGGTCCCTTAGCATTTCATCATGCAATGCAGTTATCTCCAACAGAGGAGGTGAGGAAGCGCAAAGCAAAGTACCTTGCCAAAACTCACAGTAAGAGGAAGAGGTGTACTTTTAATAAAGTCAATTCTCTTCCAACTATGGCTTTTGCTGGATTTTGCCAGGATTTCTTACTTTGAGTGAAATCTGAGCATTGGTAATTCACTAAATACATCACCCACTGAATTTCTTAAATTTCAACAGGATTAAGGAAACACTCCTTAATGTAAAAAAGAAACAATCAGTTTACATTGTTATAATAGAAGATTTTAAAAGACATTGCTGTATGAGCAAGGGAGGGAAAATGGTTACTTTGTAGACATAAGTTTGCACAACCTTAAAATAGGGCACACAGAAGTATATGAAAGACTTCAGCCATGCAAACCTACTTCCGGGATCTGTTTAAAGCAAATGACTGCAAATGTGTATTAAGATGTATGAGTTATGTCAGAATTAACAGAATATTAAGTATATGTTAACTACTACTAAACTGGAGAAAATATTTAGAAGATGTGGAAAATATCCAGGATATATTATAAAAAATTAGGCTAAAAATCAGAATGTATAAATATAAAATATGTTGGAGCAAATCAGTTTACATTTGTAAAACATACACCCACACAACACACACACACACAGAGTGAAAGACAGATAGGCAAAAATCAAGACAGAGAAAAAGTCCAGAATGTGTACATAGCCATATACCAATACTACTGCTTTACTTATTATCATACTCTTTTTGTTTAAGTATAATCCATAAAATTCAAAAACAATTTTAAATAAACTCACAAGCAGATACATGTATTTATTTCATTTTGATAAGAGAAAATTCCTCTTTCTGTAAAGAGTTCTCTCTTGAACTTGGAGAAAAGGTTCAAAATAATCTAAAAACAGTTGTTATGTTTTTATTGAATGTCTTTTTCCCCTTTAGCTCTTAATAGTTCAATCAACTCTGTGTTTTGTTTTGCAGTGCTGGGGATTGAACTTAGGAAGGACCTCAAGAATGCTAAGAAAAGTCAGGCACAGTGTTACATTCCTGTACTCCTAGCAACTCAGGAGGCTGAGGCAGGAGGATCACAATTTGAAGGCCAGCCTCAGCAATTTAGTGAGTCTCTAACAACTTAGACCCTGTCTCAAAATAAAAAAGGGCTGGAGATATAGCTCAGTTGGTAGACAGCTTGCCTCACATGCACAAGGCCCTGGGTTTGATACTAGGCACCACAATCAATCAATCAATAAAAAGACTAGGGATGGGCTGGGGTTGTGGCTCTGTGGTAGAGTTCTTGTCTAGCATATGTGAGGCACTGCGTTTGATCCTCAGCATCAGATAAAAATAAATAAATAAAATAATTGTGTCCATCTACAACTTATCTAATAAAAAATATATATTTAATCTTATCTAGATAGATGTGTATATATATTAATTTATATATATTAATACACACACACACACACACACACACACACACTGGTGATGTGGCTCAGAAGTTAAGTGCCCCTGGGTTCAATCTCCTGTACCCCCAGCAAAAAAAAAGAACAAAAGTTAGATTCTAGGCAAGTGCTATAACACTTAGCTTCATCCCCAATCCTGACTTCTAAACATTTGCCTAGTATACTAAGGTACTGCCATGTCATACATGTCAACACTGATCACAATGAGCCTTCCTTTCTTACAGTCCTGACAGATGTATTCCTGACAGTTTGGCTCTGAAACTCTCCTTTCTGCCACAACATCCTCCAAATTGCTACTGAATAATCTTGTTAGTCTCACCTTAAATCTAACTTCATTAGAATAAAGACTGTAAGGTATGGATTTGTGCCATCCAATACAAAAACCACAGCAACATATGTCTATCTAAATCTAATTTCAGTTCCTTAATCATACTAGCCACATTTTGTGTTCTTAAGAGCCACATGTAGTTAATAGCTACCATACCAGAGAATGTAGATATACAATAATCCATCATCATGGAAAGTTCTTTTGCACAGTGGTGGTATAAAGCATACAACATGGGTTGGGATGTGGCTCACTGGTAGAGCGCTTGCCTAGCATGTGTGAGGCACTGGGTTCGATCCTCAGCACCACATAAACAAAGATATTGTGTCCATCCAAAACTGAAAAAAAAGCATACAACATAAAATTGAGTTACCACCAGAGTTCCCCTGAGTTCAGAATAATATGGTCAAAATCTAATGCTGGTGACTAGAGAAATGACATTTCCTTCCTATGAACTCTTGTTTTGGGGGGGGCGGGGGTGGAGGCACTGGGGGTTGAACTCAGGGACACTCGACCACTGAGCCATATCCCCAATCCTATTTTGTATTTATTTAGAGACAAGGTCTCGCTGAGTTGCTCAGCACCTTGCTTTTGCTGAGGCTGATTTTGAACTTGCCATCCTCCTGCATCAGCCTCCAGAGCCGCTGGGATAACAGGTGTGTGTCACCGCGCCCAACTATCCTTCCTGTGAACTCTTAAGGCATATGATCAGAATTCCTTTAGTGGTTTTTTTTTTTTTTACCTTGTACCTTATACTTATTCATCTATTCTGATTTTATATCCTTTGCTATATCAAAAATAATTAAAGAGTAGTAACTTTATGTTTTCATTTCTTGTATTCCTCTAATTACTACCACAAGATCCAACATACTGTGACCCCTTATATCTGATAATTTGACTAAATATCATTTTTAGACATTCTTCTTTGGAAATGGTACTTAAGCACTTTAACAGACTACCACCTTGTTAGTATGCTCATATTGGTCCTTACTGATTACTGGAGAATGATATTCACTATGATTTATAGATTGATACAGGAAATTCAGGAACTATGAGAAATTGTGGAAAATATTGTAATGTAGCCGTTAACAACACAGTTTCTGTTGTCAGACTTTCAGAATGTGAATCTCAGTCTGACAGCTATTACATTTTCAAGTAGCCTACTGGTAAACTAGGGGTAAGCACCCACACTCAGGTAGCCTACTGGTAAACTAGGGGTAAGCACCCACACTCAGAGTTGTGTTGAGGAAACATCTCTATATCACATACTGGCATGTAACTATTTAATAGAAGTTAGGGAGTATTATTAAAATAAAGGACATTATATGTTTCTTACTCCATTGTTCTTAAATAGAATTATTTTCTACTGTTTCCTTTTTTCCACAGTAAAATCTGGGTATCACATCTCTTTTAACAAATTTGTTTAGTTGTTGATGAACTTTTATTTATTTGTATGCAGTGCTGAGAATTGAACCCAGTGCTTCACACATGCGAGGCAAACGCTCTACCACTGAGCTACAACCCCAGCCCAGGTACAATTCTTTTAAATTAACAACATTAATAAAACAGTTTCTCAGAAAGATAACCAAGACATCTCCCCTTGTCCTTTAAACTACTGAAGGGAGCTATCATTCTTTAATATAGTACTAAATAAAAGGATCTAATAAGGTGTTAGTGTATTTTATTATGAGGTTCAATTTTGTACTCATATCCTATGAATATACATTTTCATGAAAATTTCAGCTATCACTATCTTACTCTGTTTTCTACTATTACAAATGGGTCCTATAAAATGTTATTGGCATAAAGGAGCTTCAAAACATACCTGAATATGGAGAGTACAGCTATGTCCTGTGAATATCACTTTAAAAATCTATAATAATATGTAGTCCTGAAGGGCTATCTTATCAACTAAATTGTGCCATAATTGATTTGTGAATACCTGGAAGTTCGTCAAAATAGAAGGGTTCCTTGGCACTTCCCTTTTCTCCCTTCAAACACAGAGGAATAAAAACCTGTGGCTAGGAAGATTTACCTCCTCTAACTAGGAGTTGGAGAGTCTCTATGTCCTTTGACTGAAAAATGCAATTTCTATCCTGCAGAATCTAAAATCAGAATCAAGATATACTCCTTACAAAAGTGTGTTTAAATCCCAACATTAATAAGTGAGGTTCACATGAAATTTAAAGTTGATTATTGTTCATCATTGAAACTCTAGCCAGAGCAATTAGATGAAAGAAATTAAAGGGATATGGATAGGAAAAGAAGAACTATCACTATTTTCTGACTACATGATTCTAAGAGGATCCAAAAAATTCCATCAAAAAACTTCTAGAACTAATAAATGAATTCAGCAAAGGAGCAGGATATAAAATCAATATAAATCATAATGCATTTTTGTACATTAGTGACAAATCCACTGAAAGAGAAACTAGGAAAATTACTCCATTTACAATGGCCTCAAAAAAAAAAAATACTTGGGAATCAACTTAACAAAAGAGGTGTAAGACCTCTACAATGAAAACTACAGAATGCTAAAGAAAGAAATTAAAGAGGACTTTAGAAGATGGAAAGATCCTCCCTTGTTCTTGGATAGGCAGAATTAATATTATGAAAACGACCATACTTCAAAAGAACTGTACAGATTTAATGCAATTCCAATCAAAATCCCAAAGTTATTCCTTATAGAAATAGAAAAAGCAATCATCTGGAAAAATAAGACCCAGAATAGCTAAAGCAATCATTAGCAAGAAAAGTGAAGCAGGTGGCATCACCATACCAGACCTTAAACTATCGTACAGAGCAATAGTAACAAAAAAATGGCATGATATTGGCACCAAAATAGACTAGTAGACCAAAGGTACAGAATAGAGGACACACAGACAAACTACATAAATACAGTTATCTCATACTAGACCAAGGCACCAAAAACATATATTGGAGAAAAGATAGCCTCTTCAACAAATGGTGCTGGGAAAACTGGAAATCCATATGAAAAAAAATGAAATTAAGCCTCTATATCTCACCATGCACAAAACACAACTCAAAGAGGATCAAAGACCTAGGAATTAAATGGGTCTATTAGAGACCCTGCACCTAACAGAAGAAAAAGTAGGCCCAGGGCTGGGTTGTGGCTCAGTGGTAGAGTGCTTGCCTCGCTTGTGTGAGGCACTCAGTACCACATAAAAATAAATAAATAAAATAAAGGCATTGTGTCCAACTAATATATATATATTATATATATACACACACACACACACACACATACATAAACACACACATATATATGAAAGAAAAAGTAGGCCCACATCTTCATCATGTCAGATTAGGCGCCGACTTCCTTAACAAGACTCCTATAGCACAAGAAATAAAATCAAGAATCAATAACTAGGATGGATACAAACTGAAAAACTGCTTTGCAACAATCAGTGGGATGAAGAGAGAGCCTACAGAATAGGAGCAAATTTTTACTACATGCATATCAGATAGAGCACTAATCTCCAAGAACTCAAAAAACCTAACACACACACACACACAAAACCCAATCAATAAATGGGCTAAGGAACTGAACAGACATTTCTTAGAAGAAGATATACAATCAATCAACAAATATATGAAAAAAAAAATGTTCAACATCTCTAGCAATTAGAGAAATGCAAATCAAAAGTACTCTAAGATTTTATCTCACTCCAGCCAGAATAGCAGTTATTAAGAATACAAGCAACAGGGGCTGGAGTTGTAGCTCAGAGGTACAGAATTTGCCTAGCATGTGTGAGGCACTGGGTTAGATTCTCAGCACCACATATAAATAAATAAAATAAAGGTCCATTGATAACTAAAAAACATATTTTAAAAAAGAATATAAGCGGGCTGGGGATGTGGCTCAAGCGGTAGTGCACTCGCCTGGCATGCGTGCGGTCCGGGTTCGATCCTCAGCACCACATACAAACAAAGATGTTCTGTCCGCCGAAAACTAAAAAATAAATGTTAAAAATTCTCTATCTATCTCTCTCGCTCTCTTTCTTTTTTTAAAAAAAAAAAGAATATACGCAACAATAATTGTTGGCAAGGATGTAGGGGAAAAGGCACACTCAAACATTGCTGGTGGGACTACAAATCGTCTGGAAAGCAGTATGGAGATTCTTGGAAAACTTGGAATGGAACCACCATTTGAACCAGCCATCCCACTCCTCAGTTTATACCCAAAGGACTTAAAATCAGCATACTACAGCGACACAGTCACATTAACTTTTATAGCATCACAATTCACAATAGCTTAATTGTGGAACCAACCTAGATGCCCTTCAATAGATGAATGGAGAAAGAAACTGTGGTACATATACACAATGGAATATTACTCAGCATTAAAAGAGAATAAAATGATGGCATTTGCAGGTAAATGGATGGAGTTGGAGAATATCATGCTAAGCGAAGTAAAACCAAAGGCCAAATATTTTCCATAATAAGTGGATGTTGATCCATAATGGGGGTGGGGGAAGCATGAAAGGAATAGAGGAACTTTGGAGAGGGAAAAGAGGAGAGAGGGGAAGGGAGGGGCCATGAGGATAGAAAAGATGATGGAATGAGATGGACATCATTACCCTAGGTACATGTATGAAGACACGAACGGTGTGACTCTACTTTGTGTACAACCAGAGAAATGAAATATTGTCCTCCATATGTGTACTATGAATTGAGATGCATTCTGCTGTCATGTATAACAAATTAGAACAAATTAATTTTTAAAATCATAAAGCAGAAGGAAGGCCATGTGACTTGACTGATACCAATCAACTATCTCCGATGTTTCCTTACTTTTTTAAGCTAGGATCTTGGAAATCAATATTGCCATTCTACCTAAACATTAATCTTAATTTAAAAAAAGTTTTAACATTAGATTCCATGATATGCATTTCTCTATCATGTTAATTGAGTGCAGAAGAATGATTTGAAAAATGAGGAGGAAGAATGTGGAGACCAAAAAGAAGGGGGATCCACAGCCAATCTGCGGGGAAGGTAGGCCAAGAACAGGTCCCTAGACATTTCAACAAAAGAAAACCAAATGTTTTCACATCCTAAAAACACAAACCCCATATTTTGAATAAAGAAAAAACAAACGCACCTGGAACTAGATCTAGATTGTTAGATGTGCTACAAAAATGTTTACCTCCTTATTTATTTATTTAATTTTTGTTGTTCGTTTGTTTTGGAATGGAGGACTGGGAAAGAAGGACATCATGAATGATATATATATCCTGCGTTTCTTTAGAGCACAGGTCTGGGAAATCTCCAGGGCCACGTCTGCCGTGGCCTCACACGACAGAGGAGGCTGGAATCTGAATTCACAGCAGATTCCTAGGTCAGAGGCGGGGGAATGTTCCGGTTCTGAAAAACGCAGCTGCCCGACAGCGCCCCTAAGTCCCAGAAGTCAGTCTCAAAGACACTTCTAGCTCCATACGGTCCCACCCCAAGCCTAGGTCTGTGCCTTTCTGGAACCCTTTATTCTAAGGCTCAATATCTGACTCCTCTCTCGGGGACACTGCTGCGAGGGGAGAAGACTGAGAGAGCTGCAGGGACCTTGCGCGGGTCAATGACACACACCGAACAGCCAAGCGCCGTTCTCAGCCTCACAACCGCACCCACCTCCCCGGAGTCCCAGCCCGGCCGTGAACGCACACAGTCCCGCGCGAGCGCATGTTATCACACCTGAACCCCAAATCGCCCTTCTCCGCTCCTCACGCACGCACGCGCCTGAGGCTCGGGGCACGATATCCCACAAACGTGCCTCGGGGCTCTCACTTCCGGAGGCAGCCCAGTCGCGTTCCTACCCCCATGAGCTCCGCTCCACCACACCTAGCACGGACTTCTTTCTAGGGTGCGATTAGCTCCTCCGTGGCTGACCCCTCAAGGACTCACCGGAAGGGCTCTCAAGATTCCGGATAACGCCACCTGTAGGGCTTCTGGGATACGTAGTCCTTGGCCCGGATATGTAGGCTTGGACTCTGCGCAGGCGCAAGCATGCGGGATCCGGCGGCTCCCTTGACTGAGTCCTCAGACTTGGCGGCTGTCTCGGCTAACCAATCCTTGCCAGAATGCCTCAGTACCTGACCGACGAGTACATCCGAGAATCTGAGACTTAGGCAGCGAGGGTGCGGGACTGGGCGCAGGCTCCATAAAGTGGAACTGTGTTTTTCTTTACCCTGCTTGTCTGGCGCCTTGTACACAGCAGGGACTCAATATGTGTATTTCAAAACCGTGTGGCCTTTTGCGCCTGGCCTTATGATCGCATGTGTGTCACTCTGAGGGTTACAGGAGCAACTGTGCTTCTCTGGCTGCGTGTGGGTAGTATTTATGCATGTGAGACAGCGTGCAGTGAACATAAGGAGCACGTCTTAGTCTGTGCAAAGTCCATCAGAGAACTAATCGCCTGGTTTCAAATAACACATTTTGCTCTTCCTCATCCCTTTCTGAAAATTACTGTTCTAAAGCCACAAGATGGCTCACTGCAGCAGCTCATTTGTTTTTTAAGTTGTAGTTGGACACAATCCCTTTATTTTGTTTATTTATTTTTATGTGGTGCTGAGGATCGAACCCAGCGCCTTGCAGATGCTAGGCGAACACTCTACTGCTGAGCCACAACCCCAGCTCCAGCTCAGTCTTAGGAAAAGGATTTTCATGCAGGGGATGCCTTAGTGCAGGGTACTAGTGCCTAACAGAGGACAGTCCAAGTGATGGAGTAGACCAGCATGAGAGGTCAACCTGAGCAGTATCAAGGACGGTGTTACAGGATTGCCCAGAGTGGGATCTGAGTCCAAGCAGGTGAAGAGGCAGTTGGGTGTGAGGGCTGCCCAGCTTTGGGTGTTGTGGCCCAAAGGGCAGTGAGGAGTGGTGAATGTCAACACCCAAGCAGGGTGAGAATACACACAGTGTTGAGTTTGTTAGTCACAGGGGAACTGATGCACAAGGTAAATATATTAAGGGAAATGGGAACCAGGCTTGTCCCTGTCAGAACAGGGAATTAGATATGAAAAGTGAGAAAACAAAAATGAGCCTTATGATACTATATTGAAGCTAGATGTAATGATATAAGCTCACAACTATCTATATGGGTTGATATAACAACATAAGCAAGTGCTAGACCACCATGGACACCAGACTCAGGTGTCACCCTGGTTTCCTTTGTGGAGTTCTAGGTTTCAAGATTGGCCTAACCTGATGTGTCCCTGCCTCAGCAAGAGGAGCTACAGTGCTGAGCTACTCCATTTGGGCCCATATCTCACTCCATAAGTATATGCACATTAAGGTCCTGATGAAAGGCAAAATGTCCAACTAGTATCCAGGGATAATTTGTGAAGACAAATCAAGAAAATGATGCAGTCAACAGAACATTGAGCACCACCTTCTGGCTAAAAGTTATACTGCATCCTGTTTCTCTTCCTGGTCTGTGCCGACTTCATATGGGTGTCCGTTCAACTGCTGGCTTTGGTACTATGAAAAACTCACCCATTTTCAACTGCTTAGCAGTGGTACACTGTCACCTCACCTGAGATATGCTTACTGACCCTGAGTAGCTAGTGTCTGTGTCAGTCAGCTTTCTCTCACAGTGACAAAATATTTGAGAAAAACAACCTAAGGAGGAAAGATTTAATTTGACTCAGTTTCAGGTTCCAGTCCATGGTGGTCTCCACTGCTGGGGGCCTGTGGGAAGGCAGAGCGTCATGTGGAAAGGGTATGGTGGAGCTGAGCTGCTCACCTCACAGTGACAGAAAAACAGAGGAAGGGGCAGGGACAAAATATACCCTTCAAATCCATGCCCCCAGTCACTGATCTCTTCCAACTAGGCCCCCACACCCTCAAGTTTCCACCATCTCCCACTAATACCATCAACTGGGACCAAACCTCCAACACTCAAGCCTTTGGGGAACAGTGCAGATGCAAGTTATAATACTACCCAGAGAGCAGTATCCTCGAGGTTTGTCCACGCTGTCAAAGGGGCAGGAATTGCATTTTTGAGACTGAATATTTCATTCTCCTATATTCACATATAAAACACTTTCTTTACTCATCCACTGACATTTAGGTTGTCTTCATTAGTTATTGTAAACAATGCTGCAGTGAACAAGGGACACAGACATCTCCTAAGGAACACTAATTTCATTTTCTGTAGATATATATACAATTTTTTAAAAATTTTTTTGAGTAATTTCCATACTGTTTTTCATAGTGACTGTACCAATTTTTTAAAAATATTTCTTCTAGTAGATGGACACATTACCTTTATTTTTATGTGGTGCTGAGGATCAAACCCAGTGTCTCACATGTATTTGCTAGGCAAGCGCTCTACCAACTGGGCCACACCCCAGCCTCATGACTGTATCAATTTACATGCCCACCAACAGTGTACAAAGGTCCATTTTCTCCACATCTTTTCCAACACTGGTTATCCCTTGTCTTTTTGATAATGGCTATTCTAACAGGTGGGAAATGATACATTACTGGTTTACTTTGCAAAAACATTAACATCTGCTTCATCAAACTTTCTTTCTTTTCTTTTTCTTTTTTTTTTTTTTTTTGCTTATTATATCATTTTGGACTCATTCCCTATTTTATGGAATGGATCTATAACCAGTGTTATTTGTTTCGAGGCTCAGTTCATGCCAGGTTTGCTCAGTGGAAACCCCTCTGACACTCTGTAAATACTTTTTACTTTCTAGCACAACGTAATTTGTTTTGAGCTTTCTCTTCCCCAGTTCTTTCTTCTCAGGGAAGACAGATTAGGATAGTCTCCCTACAATATAAGATTACTGCTCAGTTTTTTCTTCACAACACTTACCACAATTAACTGCATTTATTTGTAATTGTTCCTCCATTGAAGAGTTCCTGAAAGGCAGAGACCAATCTTACTTCTGTTCTTTCCAGGGCATTTGGATAAAATTAACAAACTGAGAGAGTAACAGAAAACATCAAGTGAATGAGACATGCAACTTTTTTCTTTTTTTAACCTTAGGAGGGGTGGATAATGGTTGAGGAGATGGATAAATAAAAGTTGATGGCATCTCATACACACTGTATGGAAGTGGGGCTGGCAGCATTTCTGAGGAATCCAGAACAACTACTCTTGTGGCAATAAGACTCGATTCTTTAGGACCCTCCTCCCTGGAGGAAAAAGTAGCTGCCCTTCAGCTGCCACGGCACCTTCCTCTGGTTGACTGAAACTTTCAGGCCCTCTGATTTTTCTGTGGGATTGGATGGGTTCCGATCTAGTCCCTCCACAACTGGCTGAATGCCGATGGGATGGAGGCCTTCAGATCTCCTTGTTGGGCATGGGATGGAGGGAAGAGGTGCTACCTAGACACCCTCATCTGAGATAGCATCCAAGCTTATAGCTCAGACCACCTGGTTTTGAGGGACTTCCAAGTCCCCATGCTCAGTCCAGTGTGTTAGAAATGGAAAAACAGAACATATAACCACAAAAGCAGAAAAGCCGGTCTCAAATCACACTTTGGGAATCAGCCTATGTCCACCTTTTGAGTTTGAGATAACTTAATAACTGCATGAATCTCTGGAACTTGGAAATCATTTTGCTTCCCCCCCACACACACTTAATTTCCAAGGCAACTACTTCATTTCCTATTGCCCGCCTATGGATTTTCAATTCAGAGGATTTCAGTGGAAATCACTTGGTCTTTGGGTGATCACTCAAGTGTTAAATTTATAATAAATTGTTTCATTAAAAGTTTATATTGGGGGGTCTGGCCTGGGGTTGTAGCTCTCGTGTGAGGCAATGGGTTCAATCCTCAGCACCACATAAAAATAAGTAAATAAAATAAAGGTATTGTGTCCATCTACAACTAAAAAATACTTTTTAAAAAAAGATTATATTCTGCCAGGTGCAGTGGTACACACCTGTAATCCCAGTGGCTAGGGAGGCTGAGATGGGAGAATTGTGAATTAAAAGCCAGCCTCAGCAATGGCGAGGTGCTAAGCAACTCAGGGAGACCCCGTCTCTAAATACAATATAAAACAGGACTGGGGATGTGGCTCAGTGACTGAGTGCCCCTGAATTCGATCCCTTGTACAAACACCCCTAAAAAAAATTTTATAGTCTGGGCACTTCTGCATGTTATTTTTTTTTAAAACAATCAAAAACAAAGGCTTACATGTATCTAAAGATTTCTTCCCCTTGTCTTTGCAGAGTGGAACAGAGAAAAGAGTGTATGTCTCCCTTGGCAGGGAAACACTTGCTTCAAAGATTCTACTTCTGAAGTAAGTGAGCACTCTGGCTGTTCAACAAGCCAGCCACTCTTCTTCCCTTAACACACAGCATGGGACTTAGAATAAAAGTAACCCCAGATATCCAAGAACTAGACCAACACAGGTAGGTCCCAATGACTAAGAGTTGGCCTGGCACTCAGAGCTAAGCCACATCGTTCTCCTCATTGGAGACAGACAATCTAGCAGAACACCAACATCTTGAGACCACAGTGAAGCCAGAGAAAAACAAGGCCATTTCATAATTCTAAACACAGACAAAAACAAGTTCACTACACAATCCCCAAAATACTAAGTATCACCCTCTCTTAGCCAACACAAGGGACTGCTACTTCTTTATCAATGACAGCTTCAGCCTCCTTCATTATAGCTGAAATTTATTACAATGCCCAATCACAAACTTATCCTTGGGGCTGGGGCTCAGCGGTATAGCGCTCGCCTCGCTCATGTGAGGCACTAGGTTCAATCCTCAGCACCACATAAAAATAAACAAAATAAAGGTTTTGTGTCTATTCACAACTAAACAAACAAAAAAATGTATCCTTGCTTCCTGACACCATGCAATCCTGAACAAAGTCCTGCTTCCTTGAACCATCCTCCAAATCAAGCACAAATTCCTTAGTAAATCTTTTCAAA